GTTCTATCCCTATTTGCTTAACAGAAGCATTAATGTGAACCAAAAGAAACTTAGTATTAGTTATGGATTTTATTTTATTTTTTTTTGCAGATGTTTATTTGCATTAGAACAGCCACTGGGGCATGTATAGTTTCCCAGATTGGGTTGGATTCCATCTTCAGTCAGCGCCACCAAGCAGGGCTGATGGGAAACGCTCTCCGAAAAATAAGTCCAGGATTTGTAAGGGTGTGGTTCTAAGTATATTCATCAGGGGGGAAAAAACTATCTAGGATTGAGATTCATTTTTGAGCAAACACAGAATTGCCGTAGAATTGCTATTTAAATCAATGCTGTTCTTTTTTCTTTTTGAATTCGTGCATAACTGGTTATTGAACAATGGCTTGTAAGGAAGTTGTACAAAATCTTCCCAACTTTAAAAAAAGCCAAAGTCACACATTAGATTCTATTAACATCAACAGTTACATTAAGCTGTTCTCAATTCTGGCATTAAAAAAGCATGGTGAGAAAAATAGCATATTGCCACTTCAATGGGCACATCTTTAGGATAATAACTTTCAGAGAATGACATGATGATACACTGCGATGAGCCTATGTGTTTTAAACCAACAGTGGTTAAATAAAATAAGTAAGAAATGTAACACAAATTTATGGAAATGCCAAACAGAAAAATATTTTCCTTAGACTTGCTCTTCAGGTAAGAGTTATTGATAAAATAATTTTTTTTAAAAAAATGGATGAATAAGTTCCCCACTTTTCTTCCCAGCTTATTTAAGAGACATCTAAAAAAGAAAGGAAGAAAAATTGGGAATCTATTCTTAGTATGATGCAACAGCAAGAAAAATGTGAGAAATACAGTAGACAAAGACTCTAGTTATACAAAAATGAATAAAGAATATGTTTCAGCATAAAATTCAAAGATGACAACAAATGTGTTTGAATAAAGAAGCTTGCCAGAAGACTAATATATTCTCTGTAAGATGGATCACAGATATTAGATACAGTGAGAGAAATACGTTAACATTTAATCATGTCAGGTATTTAGATCTTCTGTGCTAATTACACAGAGAAAATGTTAATATATTAACTTGAAAGCATTTTTAAAGAAACGCTATTTCAGATCTACAATACATTAAAGTCCTTTGTAAGAAGTAAAATTTGGACAGAAGATTTTAGATGCGGATTATGACATACAGCTCATATACTTGATGAACTAGCTGTCTTCTGATGCAGTATAAACATCAGTCTAATTCTTGAGGTCTCATTCATGTATTCATTCATGTGCACATATATGCAGCTACACAATTTACTCTTTTAACCTATCTCACAAGACATGAGCTCTTGCAAGATTCTAATTATGGAAACATAACTGCATTCTGGATATTTCTCAGTGGTTAGTTGGAGAAACAGCTGGTCTTTTGATTTTCATCATGGCAACGTCAAGGAAACCTAGAGGAGATGATGGCAATAACAATTTTTCTTTGACTTCCAGGAATTCTTGCCAGTTGACAAATGTTGTAACCACCTGCACAGTCCAAATGCAGTGGCTTCAAGACATTCCAGACTCCTGGATGTCTTCTTGATAATTGGGTAATGATTCTCTTGTCCCCCAGGAAATTAAAGGTTGATGATGGCAAATTAAACAACTCTCCTTTCTTGTGTGGCTCTGGTCCCTGGGTGGCCAGCTGATTGATTGATATATATATATCTAGTGGAATAGTTGCTCAGCTGACAGTAGGAAGAGGGAAGAGCTTGATGATGATGATTTCACATCTTTCTATGAACAACCTGATAAGTCAGTATCTGTCATTCATACTGCCTCAGCCATCACTTTGGGGGCAATACAGGAAGTGCTAGATGCCATAGGTTATTACCCCCAAATAAAAGAAATGAGAAGGCAAGGATGAATGGGAATAAGCAGACTGAGTCCCTCTCCCTCTCCCTTTTGCCCATCCACTTATTTGCTTGAACACACAAAGCTTCCATAGCCAGACCGAAAACACTCTCATGCAATACTTATTTCCATGTTGGGTCTCCAAAGCCAAAAGTGACTTGCCAACCAATCTCATTCCTGCTGATGTTGGCATACTAAGGACACCACGAGTCAATCAGTGTTTTCCCTCCAACTGACCCATAGGAAAATGTGAAAACAATATGTCCCCTGCATAAACTCCTGGAGCAGCAAAAAAAGAAAAAAAAAAATCCCCTGCTTTCTACTCCACACAAAAAGGAAATGGTTAGATTGCTACATAGGTTTGGTCCCTTGCAAGAAAAATATCTGGGTGTTTGCAACAAGATGCAGATACCAGGCTGGAAAGCTATCTTTCTTCCCATATTAAAATCCCACTGAGGGGTATGAGGTAAGGGTTGTCTCCAGTGGAGAAATAAAAGGCCACAAATTCTGCAGATCTTTACCACCATATTTCTGAAAACCGTTTTACTTTTTTGGGGGGGGGTGTGATTTGGGTTACTTGGCAACAGAGGTAGAACTCAGCCTGCTGTCAAACTAGGCTGTTAAGGAAGCACAGAGGTTCAGAGCAGTTTGTACTGGCATATGTTAGTGCCCCTTGTTATGACTGACTTGAAATCATCTCCCCAGTCCCCCATTGGCAACCATATTAGGGACATCATGGAAATGGAAAGTATTCAAAAGAAAGTTGGAGGAGAATTTATTAAAGATGCTTAGTATGTGATAGCTTGTTTTGGATAGACTTGCCTTCCAA